TATCATACATTCATTGCATTGAACATGTACATGTAGTACCCTTAGTGTCATCCTCCATAGATAACTCTCTAGCTCTATAGTGACGCTGGCTTCTGGTAGGAAGCCTGCAGAAACTGCGGAGGATGGCACCCAGGCTTGGGAGCTGAAGTAGTTTGGCTTGGGGTTGAACCGGAAAAGTATTCTGTACTACACAGATTATTAGATTGCTTGTTGAAGTCAAACCTAAACTATTAGAGCAATCTATTGTACTAAAACAGAAAGAACTTTGCAAAAATTAAAGTTTGCTAACATCATAAGAATAGATCATCGATCACGACATAATAAGATTTTTGTACCATGTTCAGTTGAAATGATGATTCCCAAAGCTCAAAATTCACATCATGATGTTTCATCATGTATTTTCATGCATTTCACTATCATGCATGTACATATGACAGTCTTGTACATACTTTTTCATGATAGTAGACTGTCGTTCCTGGCACGTTCCATGCTTTTATTGTCGAGATCCCTAAAATGACATTAAACTGACCAACATGACCTTTTGACACCTGGGCCAGACAGATCAATCTGACAGGACCCGCACACTCAAATGTCTCTACACCCAAAACTTTTTTGATAAATTTCACCACATTCCAGGAGACAAAACTTTCCCATTTCTAAGAAGAAAAAGGCATGTTCCCAGTTCGCTGCTACACATACTGGTATGTATGTACATGCCTTTGGCATAATTATGTTGAAAACCCTCAAAATTACATGTAAGTAAAAGGCACTCTATGTAGTTTTTTGCGCAAAAATTTGGAATATTCTAATTATACTAAATTTCAGTGTTATTAACAGTTACTATCACTTTTCAACACATTTGTGTCATTATTTCACATTTCTTACGTATATTTTGTCCGTTCAAACAGTCCTTCTTGGGTACCCGGTGCCACCGGTTTGCTCAGGACAACAACAACAATATACAGGGGTTGCCCCCTAGGGTGGCTAATTGACCCGGCTTGCCAGGCTTGATTGACAGGGGCACATGTGACAAGATATAGCCTCCTTAGAAAAACACTCATATCTTTCACATGAGGTCTGGTGGAATATAATTATCAACTTGGAGTATTTTGTTGGGCATGAATAAACTGTGGTCATTATCCCTTCAAAAGAGATAAAAAAATCTGGTAAACGGTTAGAACAGGCGACACTTTAATTCCGTACTGACACTCTAATTCCGGACTACCTTTCACCATTAAGACATAGTTTGAAAAGGAGACTTAATATTCTAGAATATGTTATATTACTTGCTGAAAGTTACGTAGGTATCATCGATAGGTCCCCTGGGACTAGGTCAGTTCTGCAGAATGGTCTTGATTTTTGAATGGTGGATAGCTTTTCCTGCCAGTAATAAGTGGTGTGGGTTTGGTCCTCCTAGCAGCCTGTTCTGGAACTACAGGGGGTTTCTGTCGAAACCTTTCAGAGCAGATAAATTCACAAAGGAACAATGTATTTTCTTCAGTTTTGGTATGTGGTAGCTTAGACAGGGATGTATATTATAATTGCGAAAGATGACTTCATTTACATAATTATTGAGGAAATTGTGTGATTCCAGGATTTATTGTTTCTCAGAATTTCAAAAAAAATCAGGAGTGACAAGCAAAAAAAAAAAACAGGCCAAGTCACCCCATAATAGCCAGAAACATTACAATATGAGCCATGAAGTAAACATACCAGGCTGGTTAATAATTAAATCAATAGATTTTGTACTTTACGGAAACAAAATTGCATTGTTACATTGAAAAACTTCTCTATGGTGCGCAAAACAGAACCCTACAGGAAATCAATCTGGGCCAATATGAGATGGCACCATGTGAATCTTTGCACAATACCAAGGAGCACATCAAAAATCTGCTCGAGGAACTCCCGCACCATGTCACTCCCAGAGACAAAGACTCAATCAAGCATGCCACCTTCAGCCTGAAGGGAAGGAAGGCATGAGGGGTGTGGACTACAGGAAGCTCCTGATAACTGTGACAGCATACCTGGCTACACATGGGGGGGGGGGACCGGAAGGTGGTGACACTGCTTGACACTCTATGCGAGATCGTCCACATTTTCTACCTGGGTGAAGATCAGAGATCACGGCGGCTCGTCCTGAGGCTTGCCAATCAAATTTACCTACATGCAGTCCTGGTAAGAGAGATCATTGGGACTGTTACCACAAGCATCACACCAAGAAAGCTGTACGGACAGTACTACCATTCCATCTCAACGCACGCTCCCATACTCTACAGGTTGATCAACTTGAAATCTGTCAATGCGGAACATCAAGAGAGACTGTTCAACTCTCTGAAAGGCATTTTCTCTCAGACAACATCACGCCGCCCAAATGATGTCCTGGGAATGAGCCTGGTGAGGCTGCAGGCAGAACAGATGCGTGAGAGGGACCTGGGGAGAGAAGAAAGTGAAATATCTACCCTTGGAAAGAACCTGCGGTCAGTTCTCCCCCCCACCAACACTGTCATCCCTTGGCAGTACCTCACCACACCTGGAGTTAAAATGAACTATCAACCACACCTGGAAAGGATTGCGGATTTTCTCGAGCTTGGCGAAGGGAAACAAGAATAGGCTGGAGAAGATCCAGGCCTAGGATCGTATGCTGATCTTATAAAATCAGCAGTTGAGGAGACAAGTTACTTTTCTGGCCCGCCTACGGTCGCCATGTTATGGACTAAGTGCGATTCACACATTCCAAGAACTCCGGGAAGTCCCGAACATGCCGCGGATATTCGGAACTGAAGTTCGGTCGCTCGGAAATGGCGACGACCGCTCCGAAAGGCGACGACCGTTCTGAAAAAAGGCGTGTTCTAGAATGTAGATTTGCCCCAGGCACGGTTTGGGACACACGCAGACTGTCCCAAACCATGCCCGGGCATGGTTTTTGGACAAGGCACGGTTTGGGACACACGCAGACTGTCCCAAACCATGCCCGGGCATGGTTTTGGACAAGGCACGGTTTGGGACAAAGCCATCGCGTGTCCAGAACTGTGCGCGACCTGAGGCACGGTTCTGGACAAACACATTGTTTATCTGATATCTAGTTTATTTGGGCGGTTTATTTGCTCTAGTCTGTCGTGGATACGCGTCAGGACTATCCAGATTCGTGCGTGGACTTGGTGGATAAGCACTTGGTGTTGTTTCCAAATGAGGACTATGCTTGGGTCAATCTACTGGTGCGTTTTTGGACACACGGCGTGTTGCGCCGTGTTGTGTTGTATCAAGAACTGTGTTCGCAATTTAATATCTAACCGTCTCAGATGGGTCAAGCCTTAGAAACTGATAGAACCTTTTTTCATTTTGTTGCAGAATAATTCAATGCACTCTGTTTGTGACACTACATGTAAGTCTATAAATTAATCATCTTAGACCAGCGTGAAATGTAAAAAAATTGGTTTACAGAGCAAGAATTACACCGATTCTTTCTTATTCTTGCCCCGAAGAAAAACAAAGATGGCGGCCTAAAACAGTTAAACCACTCCGCGAGAAGGCTCCTCCCTCAAAACACTAAGCTCCACCCCCAAAGCACGGAATGGGACAAGGCCCTTGTGTGTCCAGAACTGTGCCCGGTCAGGCACGGTTCGGGACAGTCCCCGCGTGTCCCAGAACGTGAGGCACGGTTTGGGACACGCGCCGTGTGTCCCAAACCATGCCCAGGCATGGTTTGGGACAAGGCACGGTTCGGGACACAACAAGAGGTCAAATAATAGAAATGATATGTCTGAAATGAGAGTGATGTACAAATGTACAAATGATGTACTTTCCAAACAATGCAAAATTGAAGTAACAAAACAGTAAACAAATATTTGAACTGACAGAAATAATAACAAAATATACATGACTGTAAATAACTCAAATGCAACACTGTATATAAGAGAAAATGTAATTCCTTTAAATGAAGTGATTAAATTAATGTCCAGTCAGTGACACTGATCTAGTACAGGGCTGAAATTAAAGGTGGTCCAATGGCCACTGACCACTAAAATGTAGGCTCGGACAACTAAAAACACACTTTGGGACATTTTCAGGACAACAGGACAATAAATAAACATCAGCCCTTGTTTTGTTTATCAGGCACACGTCCCGGCTTTTGAATCTGGAAAAGTCCCTCCCCCCGAATTTCCTGTCTACATGTACTTTTACTGTGCCTAGGAGTGAACATAATGCAAAATAAAGTTTGACTTGGAGTTGAAGACTAGTACTAGTCATATAAATTGATAGACTCATATAAATGACAGATCAGAACAATGGATTGAGTCGGACTTGAAATTTCTTAATCAACTAAGAAATGCTCATATTTTGCCCCAAACAGTTGAGAAAAGTCATTTTCTTCCTAGTTTTACAGGTTTCCCATTTATTAATGCAATGGTTTCATTAAAAGTTTAAAATCCAGTGTTTAAATTTTAACCCAGCCTTCATGGCTCCTATCATATAGCATTTTGGGGCTATAACAGGATGCCTAAATATGTCTTATATCTTTTTTGCCTTGTCGCTTCACATTTTTTCTGAAAAAATCTGAGAACCAACAAATTAAATTGGTGTGGCCTTACAATGTACATAGTTATCAATACATTACGAAAACATGCTGCATGACAAATCACAATGGGCGTTCATATTGCAGCGTGTTGTTTTGTGAGGGTGGTTGTGAAACTGTGCATGCAGCAAGGTTAACTTAATATGGAGGGCCTGCATGGGGGGGGGGGTCTCGACAACGCTCTACACTAAATTCTGAAACCCTCGATTACGCTTTACGATAAATTCCAAGTGGCTACAACGCATTACGTAGAATTAAAACGGCGAATACGCTCTACATAGAATTAAAACGGTCGATTACGCTCTACGGAAAAGGGCTTTCGGGCCCCCTAATATGTGTTTATGGCTATTTGTGAAATATTGGACCTTTAGTCTTTGCATTAATGGATGATGTAATGTTGACACAAGTAGAGTAAAGCATACGCTTGTTCAAGTCAGGCGCAGAAAAAAAGTACAGAGACCAAGGCCCATGAAGACAAGGATTTTTAGAGACATTTTCTCAGCGTAGAAAGTGTCCGCCATGTTGCGAGTGTGTGACAAACTCCGCGAGGTGGACGAGAAGGGCAGGAGGTACGGACTAGCCCGTGCGGAGACAGGCTACCTCCGTGCCCTGGTGGACGCCATGGCCGACACGGACAGGCTGGCGGAAGTGGAGCTGCTCAAAACTCTGTGCGACGTGAACGTGGAGAAGGGAAGACTCGGGAAGGACGTGGGGAAGTTCAACACGGCCTTGGCGCTTTATCTGGCTGCTATGGTACGGTGTTACCATGAAGAACAGGCAGATGGTATAGAACACCGCTACCACTACACGGAGAGGCTTTTACAAGGGGTGTCGTCAAAGGGTAAGAAACAGCCAACTGAAGACAAGGGGACAACTACACCTGCTAAGGTAGCGGAAAAGTTTCAAGCCCTGGACAAGAGACGCGCTACCAGAGGTAACACAGACTCATTGCTGATTGGATACGCACAGGTGATGGTAGAGGCGATAGTAAACGATAACAGTATGTTAGAAACAGAAGCGATCAAGAGTCTGGGTGACGTGTACCTGAAAAGAGGAACAGAAACTGGAGACACTAGAAACTTGACCAGAGCTACTGCTCTGTACAACAGGGCACTGGCGCGGTGTCACAACGTTCATGGAACAGTTGTCATTGTTCACCGCTTACTGCACACAGCAAAAATCAGGCAAGACATCACAAGAACAAGAAACAAGGTGAGAGATCTGTTTTTATTAGAGCATGACAGAACTCACTAGTAGTAGTACTGACTTCTGGGTTTTGACTCGGTTTGTTTATCTCTATAAATCCTGTCATCCACTTTTACATTGATTTATTCACTTCTGAAATCATTGCTTGATTCCGTGAACAAAACTGTGGGTTAAGTTTGTACTGAATCTTAGACTAAGTTAGAGTACAGAAGCAAGAAGCTGTTTTTTTTTAGTTGTTGGGTATGTGTAAATCTTGACAATAGGGACAGTAATATGCCCTTGCTTTCCCCTTGTACTAGTTAAATTACATGTAATACTATGTAAATTTTAAAGTGAACAACCAATCAACACATTTTATACAATGCAAGTACCAAGTACAATCCAAATACCCAGTATTCATCATTGTGCAGTGTACAAAATACCTTTTTGAACCAGGCAAAAATTAGTTTTTTTAAAAATCAGAATTTTAGGTTGCCCCACCTACATGTATATTACTATTAGTTACTACTTTCCTTAAATTAAGTAATGTTACATACACAAGCCTTTGACAATATTTCTAACAGCCTTTAGTTTACTGATACTAGTAACAGCCAGTAATACCTAAAATTAAAAAGCATCTGCCGGATACAGTGGTGCAAGCCAAGTGGGCATTATTTTTTTTTTTGGGGGGGGGGGGGGGTAGCACACTGGGCTATCTAGGTTAAAAAATAGGTTGCCCCAAGAAAAATTTGGTTAACTGGGCAACCAGGTATTTTGCACGCTGTGTGTAATGGCTTTCCTCGGGTCATGTCAGGTCGTTAACCTTTGACCATTGGTCGAAGCTGTTCTGTGGTTTACATGACCACCTGTTAATCATATACTTACTTCCTATTGGTTCTGGCAGAGGCCAACACGTTTGCAACAACAACAAGACGTGAGAAGACGTATGGGCCACTTCTCTCCCTTCTCAGCTGCGCCCTCTAGCGACAGAACCACCAGTCAAATTGACGACGACATGTTAGTGCTTTAATTTGTGTTTCTTTGTATGATGTACAATATGTATTAGGTGCATATTGTTGGTGGCTTCCAATCCAAAAAATGCAATAGTTATGAATATAAGACAATTTGTTAATTTTTATAAAACGATGGCATAATATTAAACCTGAGGTAAAAAGTCTAAATTTGTAAAACGGATGCTAACAATTACATTTTTTTCAAATACAGAGTACATGACATTGTACAGCCAGGGAGCGGAGACGAAAGTTCGCAGTGCCTTGTGCGAGTATTGAGAGGTGGCAGAGGTACAGGTCAAGCTGGGAGCGATTGTCTGTTGCATTGACTTGACTTGACCGGAAACGACATCTCAAGTTCCACCTCTGAAAGGCCGGGGCGGAGGTTCGCACGCGATCTGTAGGACGTTCGCGGCGCTTCGTGACGATCGTTGCAGTGCAGGGCCGCTACGACGAGGGAATCGGTCGGGAGTTCGCACGGGAGCTCTGGCTGGAGTACCGTTGAGACGACATCCACAGGACGACTCAGGGGCGGCGACGGTGCCCTGCAGCGGATGAAACAGGGCACACGCATACACAACCCTAGCCCAGTCGCCTACATATCTAGTTTATCCGTAATATTTCCTAACCACAATAAACCTAATTAGTAGTTAGTAAGCCTCAACTTAATCAGTTAGTAAACCTCGATCTAAGGGATTAGTGAATCCCCATCTTATTAATTAACACACCTCAATCTAACGCAGTTCGAGGCCAGTATTCCCCAACCCTGAAGCAGCAGGGATTCCTGCCGGGAGGGACTATGTACCGACCATATGCCTGGCCTTGATAACTAAGGATAATCGGCTTTTCCCACGAGAAGGAAAACCGGAAATTCAACATCTGGGGGGAGGATATCCCAGATCCCATTACCTAACCTATTCACATCACATACTTATTATCTAACTAACACCTAACTACTATCTTGTCGGCAACCGCCTTCGACTGGAACGCATTGATGTGAGTTCGCTGGAGATACGCGGCTGTTAATCGCATCTCAGATCAAAATCCATCTCTTCTTTCTTCTCTCTGTGTATTCTTTACTTTGTTTACGTTTTCTGTGGTAAGCTGCTCTTCGATCTAGGCCGAGTAACACGCGACAAGCAGTGCCGCCAGGCGTAAAGCCTGCACCGGCGGCTAGGTTTAGACGGCATAGGGACTCCCCCAGCCCACCGACTGCACACGAATGTGCGGCGCTGCTGGCATGCATATGCCCGGCGGATCTAAATGTGTTGTTTTTTTGGCAAAGATTGTTGTGTACGGCGGTGTGTGGCTTCTACTGCATTTGTTGACATGACGTATCTTTGTTTATGGACCATATCTTCCGACAGTTTGTAATCTATTACTGCTTGGAGGTATTTTATGTCGTTCTCGGTGGGCACGATGTGTTCGCGCCGTGGTAAATACGCGGGTTTGTGGTCTGGACCGGCTCGGCACATGAATGAAGTTGAATGACAATTTGTGTGGTTCCCGGAAAAACAGTTAACTATGTTGTCTTTGGCTTGTTGTACTGAAAGTTTGAAAAGGTCGTCGTTTTGTGGGTACTTTTCACGTGCCCGGCGCAGCTCGGTGCTGCAGCGTTTGGAGACAGCTCTCCCAAGGGCGGTAGCGAACCAGGTTCTTTTTGTTTGGGCCACTTTCGCTGAATAACCAGTAATGCCTGACACTATTTGGTCACTCAAAACTGTTGATATTCGAAACATTTTTCTTCTCTGGCCTCTAGAAACGTGGACCTCACAGTCGAGCTTTTCGACTTGTAGCGTTGGTGAGATATTTTTGGTTGTGTGTCTAACCCCCTTCGTTATGTGCGAGTCATTATCAGTAAGGTCTTTGTCTAATAGAACTGGTTTTTTTTCTTGCATGCCTTCCACGGCCCGCCCTGCCAAAACTTCCTCCGCTTTCCCTATCGGATCAGCGGGAGGGAAGTTCGCCTTACAGGACGGACCGTGGGTCTGCCTGTCTTTGCCATCCCGCCTGCACGTGCACAATTTACTTGCAAAACCAAAACCTATCAACATGTCTCCCTTTGTTTTTTTCTCTATTACGGGTACCGTAACCTGTGTTGAGTTCTGGCTGTGTGTATGATAAGACGGATTGTTATAGGCGCCGTCAACCGCGGCCGTGGCTAACACCGGCTCGCCGTCTTTCACATCCTCCCCCTGTATTGCACACACTTTCCTAAGCGTCGCTCTGTTGTCGGCCAGCGAATCTTTCATTTCACCCACGACCACGTCTGTTAGATTGTTTGTGATTTTCTGTAGTTTGCTACCGCTCTGAGTGCCCGTTTCTGTGGCACTCAGAAGCGTGGTCGCTCCCGTAATACCAACGGGCAACTTTGAAAGTACCATCGAAAGCTGAACTGCTTTTCGCGTTGGTTTCGGTCCTCTGGTAGCACCCCCTTGAATTTCGGCCTCCTGATATAGTTTGTGACTCTCTGTGTGGTAACCACAGGTGCTGCAGCGCAACACTTCCTTATAACCGGTTCCAAATTTTTTCTCGAACGTCGGTGGCATTGTAACTGTGGGGTGTGTGCAGTCTGGGTGTTTTGTAGTGTGTTCCTTAATGAAGTTGTTGAAAAGGTCCATCAAAGATGGGACATGAAAATCACGTGCTTCTTGTATGTTGTGTGTGTATACCTTTCTGTGTGCCATACTTTCCAGGAGGCCGGGGCTGTCTTCTGTCGGTCTTAATCTACCTGGGGTTGGGCATATAAAAGGATCTTGTGCCATATTGAAAAGTTTTCGTTGCAGTCTCTCATATTTTTCTGTTGGTGTTTTGCAGGTTTTTCGCGAGAAGTATGGATGGCCCTGCCTAAATCCCTCTCTGCCACGCCGCAGCTTCTTCCTACATGGGCGCCCACGTCGGCTGGCCATCTTCTACGGCTGTGCGGCCGTCTTCAACGTTCATAGAACTCACTCCCGCGCCATATTTCCACGAATTTTGTAAATAGAACTCATGCAACAATCAAAGCTTTATTACTCCTTTATTGATCAATTCAACAATCGTTCCATTGTGACGTTCTAGCCGCACCATGTTCGAGAGGGGGCCGTTTCGTACCCGACTGGCCATGACAAGGTAGTGCTTTGAAGGTATCCGTTCGTCCTGTACATTTTGAGGCTGAAATCACCCTTTTTGGACATAATAGATGTACCTATGTATACGTAGATTGTCTGGTATAAATTCTATGTCTCTATGTACTGAACTTACGGAAACACATTCCAACTAACTCGTTGTAATCTTGAAATTACATGCCCAGTTTCACGTATACATGACATATACTTGTGTACTGACACGTAAAAACTCCTCCACGAGGGTATTTAACTAGTAGGAAATAAACTCCAGTTCCTTTCCGTCCTGAAAAATGTCTTTTGGATTATCAAATACATTTCGGTGTATTATTATTTCGGTGTAATATAGCCAGCTGCCGCCGCGCCGCGTGCCTGCGAAGCTGGTGTGTTACGCCGAAAGGCGGTTATACCGGCGGTTATACCGGAAATATGGCGCGGGTATTATTTATCAAATACATTTCGGTGTATAATTATTTCGGTGTAATATAGCCAGCTGCCGCCGCGCCGCGTGCCTGCGAAGCTGGTGTGTTACGCCGAAAGGCGGTTATACCGGCTATACAGATACAGATACAGATACATGCCGTTAGTTTACAAGGACTGAAATACATGACAACGTCAAGTAGCCTGCAGCGCACAGTTTGTCCGCTAGGCGGCATACAAAAACAGCCACTTGTTAAGCGTTCTATGTGCACCTGTTACAGAGTATAGAATAACCGTACCCAGATTTTTTCTTCGACGATGGGTAAAGTAGAGTGTATCTGTTTCTTTTAAGTGTAAAAAGGTATAACAAAGAACATTAACGGCGCACACCCCAGTTCTTCCGCGACCGGGGTCCACGGTAGTCCCTACTTATTTTGGAGTAGGTGTTTTTTAGTGGCCGTTCTGTGCCTAGTTAGTTAGTGAAAAATCCTAGTGGTGGACATGTAGGTCGATGTCTGTATCAAGTTCGACCCATATAGGCTGTGTTTGCTACGTTTTTGTCGGCGAATCTTCGCTTCCGGGTATCGCTCCGAGGCCGCAAACAGTGAAGCGTCCGCAGCGGCTAGGCCGATGACGTCACAGCTAGGGGCGCCCGACATGCCCCAGAAAATCCATTATTGCGATAATCTCAGTACTAGAATTTTTTTCTAAATCTGGTATATTATACAGTACGGTACATGTTTCCTTCCTATATATATGTGATATGCGGGAAATTTTTTTTTCTTGCTGTACGGCGTCAATGAAAAACGCCTCTTAACTATAGGTTTCAATGGGGGCAAGAAACTGGGGTGTGCCCCCTTAAGCCTTCCTTACTCAAAATTTGCATATAACATTATCTTAGACTTTATAAATGATGTTTCTTGCCTCAAGAAATTGTCTTATGTACCAATGTAAAATTACATTTGAACACATGCTAAATATATCCTCATAAAGTGCATGATTTTTCTTCAGAGGTCAAGAACTGGATGAACTTGAAGATACCATCGCTTCTGGCACTCCTGTCCTTTTTGTTTGACCTCGTCAAGGCATGGTTACACAAAGAGGAACCTCCAGATGTGACATCCAACCACAAGGTACATGTGACCGACCAATTATTTGTTTTAACTTCAAGTCTGACTCATTGTTTATTTGAAATTGGTGAGCTTCCAAAATCATTTTCAGACAATGACCATTAAGGTTTGTTCTATCTCAAATTTCAAAAAGGATTGACTGCAAGAGTATTGTTGGTGTCTAAAGCTTATTAGAGATTTCTTATTGTCAGATTAGTAAGGATATTAACGTGACAATGTGTTTTGATTTTCTTGCTTATGTTTGCTTATTTCAGCACATGGAAATGTAACACATAGACTCTCCTTGAAATTGAGATTGAAGGTATCCATCTAAACTCTTCTTGTTCAACTGTAGACGAACACAGCCACAGTGACTGTACCCGTGGACCAAGATGCACTGATCTACAATGTGCAGCGCCAAGATGAGGAAGTGCTAGGAGACAGCTCGGATGAAGTTAATGAAGAGGAACAACTTGATGGTTACCACCAACCAGAATGGCTGGTAAGAGGAAACAATCATCCAAATATACAATGTCTAATGTAGGTATTGCTTAATATATCAATTTTGGTTTTAATTTCTAAGTTTATCTATATGTACCAGCATTTAACATACAGAGACAAGAACACCAACAAGGAGGTATATCGCAGAATTGGTACAAAACCAATCAGCAGCATCATCACTGAGAGCAGGATGAAATACGCTGGACACGTCCTCAGAATGACTGCAGACAGCCTTGCCAAGACTTTTCTGCACTGGAAACCGGAAGGTAGGAGGAAGAGAGGGAGACCCAAGCTAACATGGCCGAGCACTTTCCAAAAAGACCTAGAGCACAGAGGGGTACTACTAGCAGATGCTGAAAACTTGGGTAAGGACCGTACAAAGTGGAGAGAACTTACTGCCCAATGTGCTTCGCAAGTGACGAACTAAGTCTAAGTCGAAGTAAGTAACCAAGTTGTGGCAATACTGTATGTACTTATTATTTGTACTTGAGTTGACGCGGAATATTGTTTTCCTTGTCTTTTTATTATGTTATGTTCATTCATGTAAGCCTGCAGGGCACTTTGAAAAATGCCCAGGTGGCGATATGTGTCCCTGGATAAATGAATGAAATGAAATAATCTCTTAACTGATATGAAAGAATATATTTTACAAAGCATCAGAGAGAAGAATACCATGTTGTAAAAGATAAGCCTTTCAGCTAAATAGTCAGTTCAGCACCCGGCACAGTCTAAAGTCATTAACTCGCCTGTAATAATAGATGGGTGACTTTTTATCTCATGTATGTAACCCTGATGTTATCAGGATTGGTCAGAAATGTTGTAGCATTGGTATTGGCATTTCATATTTGGTTTTTGATATGATCCTTTAATACAATGAGATAATAAAACATGTGTATTGCATTATTGCCCTTGTAAATGTTGCCCTTGTTACTATTGACACTAGACTAAACTTCTGTGACAGTTTAAGAAAGTAGAGGATTTTAGCTTTCCATTGATGTCTAACAAGTTGGGGTATTGTGTGCCCTGCCAATGTGTGTTGATCAAGGTCTAAAACTCGGGTAGATGACTTTTGACCACCTCTTCTGACATAATCCCCATGTTTAAGATAGGAGAGGCAATTCCTGGTCTTTGGCCCCAAACATTGAGGTCTGGGAGGGGATACCCCTCAGTTACTAAGGAAGATGCCAATCGTCTGTAGGGGTGTTTTAGCACTCGGCGTTTAAAAGGGGAGAAGTAGAATAATTAAAGGCTAAGTGTAACAGTTCGAAAATAATACAGAGTGTAGTTAATCTCTCTTTAAAGCATATATTAAAATTGTTTTATTGATTTCAGATTCGTCATCACCAACAGGGCATTTGAATAGATGCAGGCAAGAGCTCGGTATATTTATATCGTGTGGCGTGGACTCCTTTCTAGACTCCTACTTTTACAGCATATTCAGTAACAACATCTCAGATCTTTTCATGAAGATGTTCACATCACCTATTGCTTTTGTTTCAAATCATATGATCTGTTCTGTTTAAGTGTTGTACTTCATGCAAGCGTCTGCCAGGACATCTGGCTGTAGCGTTGACCAAATAAGCTGTCAGTGTGGCTTAGTGGCTTCCAGACATGTTGCAATTGTACAGGTTTTTGTTCGTGTTGCTCCCACCGATGGGGATCTGGAGAATTCAAATCCGTTGTATCCTGTACCCCACATTTCCAAATGTAGAATGTCAGAAAACTAAGCTACTGTAAAGCGACATACATGGTAAGGTGGTCAGCATGTTCAACAGCTATGTCGCAACATTTCTGAACCGTCTCGAAAAAGACTGTACTGTACTGTTCTGTATAATCCTGTTAGTGACCGTTTGCACTTCCAGTCCGTGTTTGATGAAGTGTTTTGAATATAATATAATCATATTGAACTCTTGTTCTTGCATTTGATTTTTTGTACACACCGCATGACTATGCGGATTACTTCCTGCAATGCATAAGGTAAGCTTTTTAGGCAGATACAAATCTGAACTACGTAGTAGTAATTAATAATAACTTGCTCAACACAATGTTATTGGGACGGCAGGACACTAAGAATAAACTGACAAAAAAAAAGGTTCACCCAGAAAGGACCATGAAGTATGAAAAGTGAGAACAAGCCGCTCACAAGACAGGATCTTTCCTGAGTTCTGTGCACAAAGCATGTCTCACCCGCACCCCAACTACACCTGCTGAACAGCTCAACATCACAAGGGAAGGTCCCAACCACAAGTCTTGCCGCCTGGTGAACATGCTGATTCCGGAAATGAAAAACTCAGACGTCTCAAAGTACTTGGGACGTCGGTGGCGGGGAATGCGCGAGGACCAGAAGCGCCCGTTGTTCACGCGGGCACGGCAACTGCAGAAACTTCACATGGCCAGGTACCCGCACTAATCTCCAAGCAGATCTTTTGGTGGGGGTAAGACAGTATGAAATTGGCCAGTCTGTATCCATTTCTTGGGTGGGGAAATGGATACAGACTGGCCATTTTCATACTGTCTTACCCCCACCAAAAGATCTGCCAAGGGCACAGTATTAACTTCGCCAAGAAATTTAGGTATTCAGAGGCGTTCGTGTGTGTGTGTGTTTCTCCCTCCCTGTAGACGTGATACGTTGAGAAACCTTATATGAATTGTTTATATACTTCTTCGGTCGGTACGTCTTCATGAAACCTTACTGAATGACTGGATATTGGACCACCTAGCGGCTTGTTGTGATACTGCATTGTTCTGCAGCATTACACTCTCTTTCGGATATATATATAATCACGACCTGAACTGTACACATTCCACCACATCATGTAATGGCAGGAGAAATGCAACTGGCTTTGCTGCAATCCAGTGACAGCAACCCGTCAGTTTCACTACAGTCTAAACATATTACAAAGAATTTATAGGGGGAAAAGCCAATCCGATTGGTAAACTCAAGGTTTACATTATCCGTATCGAGTTTCAAGCCAGAGGTTTGATGATGGTTTATGACTCTGTTATTAGGAATGAACCATTTGTTTTTTTGGTTTTGCGCAGTCAAGTCATAGTCTTATGAGACTGACTGACATAATATACATATATATATAATATATAATATAATATATATATATATACATATATATATATATATATATATATATATATATATAGTATATATATATATATATATATAGAGTAGAGAGAGAGAGAGAGAGAGAGAGA